ATACTGTAGGAAAGATAAGTTTCATAGCCTTTCAATTTGGCTGTGTCATCTTTCTCCATACATCAGTAAAAAGCTATACTCTTTTATCCAGTTGTACATAATTCGTCTTTATTTTCTAGTATTTTAGCAGTTGTTCCTTATCACATTTATCTTCTCACATTCAAGACTGAAAGATCAGTTCCTGCTGCTCATCAGACTTGGCCCATCATCCACTTGATATATTTTTAGGAAGCACCTCATGTTTTTTCCTCATTGCCTCTAATGCTTGAAAAGAGCTCTCCAGAAACATTCACAAAACTATCTTATTTTCCTTCTTCAAATCTCCCCTTAGTACTCTCTGTTGTCAAGCTGTCCCAAACCCAGTATTGTAACTATCTACTGTCATGTGGGACATTTCTTAATTCTCATGTGTTCCCTCTCTGGACTCGTATGTCATCTTATGATTTAGACTCTGTGCTTGGAACAGAGGTTGTATTTTTCTTCTGTATTTCAACAATGTGTAGCACAATGAAATCCTGTTCTGTGATTACAACTGTTGTGTACTCATATGATAAAACAAAACTATCGTGACTATCAGAATTAATGCTTAGGATTGATATGTAAAGAAATGTTAAGGAAGGTTAAGATTTAGAGCAGTCGTAAACAGATTTCCTGCAATAAAAATTATAAATGCTCACACATTAGATCTAAGATGGCTTTTTTTTGTCCCTGATACCATCAGGGAGCTGGAATAAGAAATAATGTCAGAGAACTGTACGTAAGGAATCTTTAAAAAATACAACAGGGAAGCTTGATCCATGCTTTCTGTTTACTAACACGTATTGCCAAGAAAGAACACAATTGTGTTTTCCCTATAGGCCAACCATATGCCAAGGTTTAGTTTTACAGGGCTTAATGAAGGTAAAATCTGATGCTGCAGCTATTTCTGCCAAAAAAGATTTATTGATTTATTGTGCTCCGGTGCTCCAAAAGCTAATGCAGTTTGTTGCACTGAGGGACTCTTTAAAATAGGTATGGGATGAATCCATGATGGATATCTGCCTTCACGGTCATTTAAGTTACACTGACCCCACCTATGATCTCAGCAGACTGAAGCCCTTAGTGTGACTATTACCGTTACCCATAAAGTATATAAGCACAGTGACATCAAGAGGTACGATGTATCCCTAAAGAACTAATTTTTGACGGTGGAGTGATTAAGAGCAGCCCCTATGTTCCAGATTGCCCAGAGGAAAGGCGACTGCTGTTCAACTAAAGGTGCACCTCTGAAGTAAAAATATATGTTGAAAATTCCCATCTGCAATATAGCTTTTCTCAATGCCCAAGGTCTCAGGAACTAGATGATAATTTACTACTATTCTGTGATGGATGAACTGGCTGCTTTGGTTCTGTTGGGTCTCTCAAATACCTATTGATAAGTTTAATTATTAAGTGATGCTTTGGTGATTGTTTAATATTGGTGGCGGGTCTGAAAACATTTTTTGGAAAGCTGAAGTTGTTAACTTATCTTATAAGTATCTTATAAATTGCCAGGCATAAGGTATCTTATAAATTGCCAAACAAGCAAGCAGAAGGCACTGAATTTATAATGATGCTTAGGATCGATTCTGCCTTTGGGTTTGTCCACTGAATACACAAGTCATGATATTTCAATATGTTAATGATACACAACTATGTGTGCATATAAATCTATACATATACATATACCTGTATGTATATAGGAATCAATCTGTGCTTTTCAGTTTGCTTCTTACCCTAGAAGAATGTTCAGACAATACTAAAAAGATGAGCACTTATTGTACCATGGGAAAGGAAGGTGGATATAGAGAAACTTTCCTTTTTATTGACAACTTACATACTAAAAGTGGTCAAAATGGGCAAAGTGGGCAAATAATACTGGTCGTTGATTTCCATGTTGGGAGCCAAAATCTAACACAAACAAAAGTCTCTGCACAGCAGTCACTTAATAATAACTTGTTTCTCTATCAAGTAGGGACTCCTGACTTTTGCCGCTTCTTCATGAAGGCAGAGAGCAGCTAACAAGCAGAGGAACAAGCTGGCATAGGGAACGAGAAGTTGTTTCTCAAAGACGACTTTACTTTCTGTGAGGGACAGCTTTTTGGCTGAAGACTAACCTGAGCGAAAGCTGGAAACCAGGAATAAGGTCATGCTTTTTGAGAGGCAGGACTTCCAGATCCATTAAACTGGGAATTTAGTGGCAGCCGGGAGAGAAAAAGGTCTTTAAAACATCCTTTCCCACACTACCATTTAGCAGTCCCTGGAACATGTATGCCAAGGCAGTCTTAAAGACAGCTCTTTCTAAACTGCTTTTGCTGAATTCTAAAATGCGCTCACATGAGTGAAGGAGTGGTGGCACTTAAAGTATAAAAGCAGTAGTATGGCTGTATTGGCCCATACCACCCCTGACTGAACACTATGCATTTTGATTCTCTTTTTGTATCACCTTTGCTCTGTGCATGTTCACATGTGTGTGTATGTACCGGCATGTACACATATAAGTTTGTAGCAAAGGAAGAAAGTGGATTGCCATAGAGTGCTCTGCGCTTACCCTAATACATATGAGCACAGTTTTGCAGGCATAAATTATCTATAGGTAGTGCAGAATTAGCAAGTTAAAAGAAAGTGGGGTTTTTTGAGATTTTCTGCCATTCTTGTGTAGGTGAGAAGGGGTTCAAGAATATTCAGCAAATCTCAAAGTCATTTTTTGCTAATGAAGAAAGAAGGAATATTGTATTTCTCTTAATGCAAATTACATGATTTTGCAATACAAAATGTCACTCATTTACATGAAAAGTCACGGTTCAAAGGAATTGTGGTAAAATGTATAAATCTAGAATATTATCTGATAAAACCACAGCCAATTGTGCTGAAACTTTTCTGGACACAATACAGCAGCAGAGGTACATGACCCCTCCACAATACAGCAACCCACAATAGTTATTCACATGGAACAAAAAAAAAGGGAAGACTTTGCTTATCCACATCGATTGTCAATCAATATGCACATTTATCAGCCTACACAAAGAGGATTATGAAAAAAAAAATTCAAAATTCTCTTCTTTAGTACTGCCACAAATGAAAGCAAAGATGTTTTTGATACTGATGAGATATGACTCAACAAAAGATTTTTCCCTGAAATAATAATTCAAGCAGGGAATACAATGAGGAATCTTACAATTTCTATTGTTTATTATAGTCAAACGCAAACTCTAGACTAAACCAATTTAAAAAATAATATGCTGTAGTTGCATGCATAATAATGAGTCAAGTTAGTGTGCTACATCATTTGATATGCAGAACAAGTTCACTGAAGTTGAGAGTGAAACTTGCTTAAATATGAAAGCATCATGATTGAAAGCAAAAAAGGTGCGGAGAACATAGACAATAAGCCAAGCAAAGGGAAAGAAAAGGGAAGACAAGTAGGGTCCTGGTACAGGAGGAAGAAGAATAGGTCTGTAGAAACAGAAGTATATTTTACCTGTCATCCTCTTTCCCTTCCTCAGCTTGGTCTTCTTGAGCTTTTTCATCATGCCCTGATCCTTTGATTTCCTCCTTATCACAGTTTTCTGTCACCTCTTGCCCTTCCCCTTTTTCATTAATTTCTTGCTCCTTTGCTTTTTCCTCCTCCTCCTCTTTTTCTTCCTCCTCAGGAAATACTCCATCTTGTTCATCCCCTTCCAGCCCTCCCTCTTTTTTTCCCTCTATATCCCTTGTCCTTCTGAAGTCAACAAAAATTGAAAAAGGCATGCAAAAAGAAAAAAGAAAAGAATAAATTAAAGTTAAGGTCATGGAGAAAAGCATGCATGAACTCACAAGAAAGGAAATGCAAAAGAAATGAAATAAAAACTAAAAGATGGAAGCAGTCATATGTTAAACCATGCTGGCTAAGACACCAGCCTACACTAGAGAACCTTGGGACGTTTTCTTAGGGCAGCCTCTAAGTCCCTCTTCGAATAAAAGTTGCATGGCAATACATCACATTTAGAAATAGAAAAGAATATTAAAGTTAAGGTCATGGAGAAAAGCATGCATGAACTCACAAGAAAGGAAATGCAAAAGAAATGAAATAAAAACTAAAAGATGGAAGCAGTCATATGTTAAACCATGCTGGCTAAGACACCAGCCTACACTAGAGAACCTTGGGACGTTTTCTTAGGGCAGCCTCTAAGTCCCTCTTCGAATAAAAGTTGCATGGCAATACATCACATTTAGAAATGTATACATAACTGTATGACAGAAACAATGTGGTCCTAACAATGCTCATATAAGCAGATGTTTAAACAATCTTTTCAAACACACCATTTCTCTCAAGAGGACAATTTTCTGAGAATTAATATAGGCTGACATTGATTTTTGCTGAGAGATGCAGGTGGGTTACACCTTCCAAGAAAAACAATCTTTCATTCCTTCTACAGCCAAAGCTCCTCTGAGTGTGCACAGGGAGCAGGCAAAGGAGATGCTGTGTTTTGCTCACAGATACACTATGTACATCTTGTTGAAGAGTAGTTCAATGGTTGTATGCCTACAGTTAAATTGGACTAGTGTAAGTATTAAATAAATTGAATTGGTCTGTGTAAGTATTAAATAAGACTTCTATCAAAGTTCAGCAGCTCTAGTTTAAAAGGAAATTAAGATGCCTCTGACATTGCTGGCACAAATTTTCAAGTTAAACTGTCTTTTCAGCGTATTAAGTATTTTACAAAATGGTTTTCAGAAAGTGCAAATCTAAGTGTGTCTGATGCTTGCTGACAGCATATGTTTGTTATTTTAGTGTATGTTAGTATAACCCAAGATGACAAAACTTGGCTAAAAACAAATACCATGAAGACTGAAAAAAGCATTAGATGAAGAAGACATTTAAACCAGTATTTTGCAAATTTTCACCTAGGCAAAATATTAATTTCAAACACAAATATTGACAAACATTCAATTACTTAAATTACACGACTATGGCTGGCACTACAGCTCCTCGTGCTCACCTTATTTTCTTGTTTCCTCTTGGACGCTCTGACTGGACGGACATGTAGCTTGTGCTGCTGAAACGTGAAGCGCTGCTTGTCCGTGACACAGCAGACACATCACTGACATCACTGTCTGAAGACTTATTGGAAACATTGTCTGAGCCTCGCTGAGGATCCCGTCCTGACCGATACTGTAAGAGGAAAGGGACAAAGATACAGATGTTGTCAGTGACATATTACCACAAATCAACTATGGAGCTGGTCCCTGATGCTATCTAAACTGCCTTTGTCACCAGACTGCCTGAATTTTTATAATGAAGTTCTTAGCTGATACAGAATACAGGTTATGTCTTGGTTTCTATTAATTTTACTCTGCTTTGCTATCCCATTCAAGTTATTAGCTCCTCAGCTTCCTCCATAGAGTGACTTGTACAAAACTTCCAGCTCTTCCAAAGGTTTCGCAAACCTTAGCAAAGACATCTAAACCATCAAGGAATATTCTTACCACAACTGTTTCACCAGTGCATGAAGCAAAGCAGAGAGACTTAGTGACTTGCCCATGATTACTGAGCTCATGAAAGATTGAACAGGAGACAGAATGTGCTTCATGCTGTCTATAAAATATGTGTCTCTTTTGGGGCCTAGCCTATTTACAAGAACTTCTAGCTGACAAATGTTAACAATTTTTTTTTTAAAGTAAATAGATAGATGAGATTATCAAACCAAAAGACAAAGCGATGTAGCTGTGCAAGCAAACCACACATCTTGCTGAACTGCTGGGCTGGGAAGTCTGAAAGGATAGGACAGGACTAGAGATAATTTGTACTGACAATGTACAAATGCCTCAGAAACTAAAAAATTACAATAGTGTTTGAGCTTGTTAACAGTATATTCCAAACACGGAACTGGCAGGTGACTGGTGATCAGCAATAAGCCCATACAATATAAAGCAGTGTTGTGCAGAGGTATTCAAGTTAGATCTGAACAAAGTATTATGGTTATTTGTTCTTGTTACACAAGTTAGCTCTAAATTAATGCTAAGTCTGTGCCACTCTGCATTGCATTATGTGCAGATATAATAAATAGCAGAAAGGTGTTTTTCCCTCTCCTCTTCATATACAGACATTTCTGTGTATACAGAAATCTGATGGGTTACTATTGATAATCTTTTCAGAAAAATAGTACTGCAAGATGAATTGTCAATGATCACCAGGTAACTGGCTGACATGGAAAGAAGACAGTATGGAAAGATGTGACGAGCAGCACAGACAGGACTGAAAGAAAACAATGGAAGAAAATAATCCGCATAATACATCAGTGGCTTGTTGAACTCTTGGGGTAGCAACATTGGACTCAGCCACCTGGAGAAAATAATTCATAATGTAAAGTGGCAGACCTGTGTAGTCCTGCAGAAAAGAAGGGTGTCCAGGTTTGGCTATCAACTTTGTCCCTTTTTTATAGTTTTAGAATAACTGTCTTTCATGAAGTACATAGATCATTTGCTTCTGTTCTCTTGCAAGGAATATTACACTGGGAAATATTGTGAAAGACTTTGCAGTGTCTAAATAGCATTTCAGAATAGCATTTGAGTGCCTGTTTACCATAAATGAATTTTACACTTAGAAATCGTAAGCTATTTTGCCCATTTTAAGATGGGGAAATGAAATAAAGGCAAGAAAAAATGCTTGTGCAGGTTACACTGTACACCTGTTGCAGACAGTGACCAAGCACAGGCTGAACTGCACGCTTATGTAAAATGGTTGCACATGCTGCAGCTGGCTTCCTGATCTGTGCTAATTTACAGTGTTTGTGTTCATTGACAAACCACTCAAGCCCTCCCCAGCCTTTAAGTGTGAGAGAGCACTTAGCCAGCCACAAACTCACAGAGTAGCTCTGTGATTACAACATTTAAATGTTGTAATATTTACTGACTGTTTTTATTGATGCCATTAATATTTTTGCTTGATAAAGAAGACAGTACCTATTATTATTGATATGTTCATTTGGGAACATAAAAACAATGATTAAACAGCTGTCCTGATCATCAGAAATAATGGAACATTATACCAGAATAAAAGGATTGTTCTTTTTCAGCAACTCCTTTTAAAAGAGCAACTACTTAGCCCTTTGAAGAAGAAAAAAATAACTATGCCTAGTGAAATGTGTATATATTGAGTCCTACCTATTCAGTTCCACCCACCTAACACTCCCTAGAATAATTCTGCATTGAAGACAAAGTTATGAGTGTAGTTTGTGTTGATTTAGCCTAAACCTACGAAGACTGAGAATACAGCCTGGTGTACTGGACTACCACCACGCACTATAGAAAAGGCAACGCAGAGCTGCCCTCAGGCCTTCAGTATTTGCCGAGGCTCCCAGGCAGATGTACTTGCCATGACGAACCCTGTGATGCCAAGACTACGCTGCCACTGGCTCCCAACAGAGCTAATGTACAGCCAAGTCGTGTATGCCTATATAAACAGCTGTCATACTGACAGTGGCTAGTGACCTCAGGGTAGACACACCGCTAGCATTACAGACCTAATGTGGCTATCCTTTGGGGAAATAAGATAGACCATAGCGTCAGATGTAAATCATTGATGGAATTGTTAATTACATTCCAATTAGGGGATAGATAATTACTTGTGGTGATTCATAGAATAACAGACCTCAACCTGCAGATCCCACACTGAGCTTGCCAAGGAGTCCATGGAAATGAGCCCTTCTAAATTAAATACATGCAAGCAACATGAAGCAGCAACGGTTTCAGCATTGCACAAAGTTATTCTGAAGAGTCATTCTGCAGCACACTGAAAGTTTCAAAAACCTATGGGTTTGATTTTATCTGTTTCACTTCCACACCTGGAGAACATCAGTTCTTAAAATACATTTTTCACAGCAGTGTGCTGTATATAACAAATCAGACATTTTCATAAATAAAACAATCGTATTTTTTTTAAAGCTAATGCAATAGTAATAATATAGTGATATATGGTGAAGATTGAGAATTGCTATGGCAAGAAGAGCAACTTAAAAGTAAATCATTTCAGAACTATAATGTGAAAAAAGATCATCAGATTATTACCTTGTCTCTTTTTTCTCAGTTGTATGTAAAAGTACTTCCCATCAAATGTTTTCAATTGGGTCAGATGGCACAGAAATATTCTTTGACCCTTACTATTTCAGGATGTTTTAGATTTGAAATTGGGAAAGTTAATTGATCCTTTCAATAAATTTGAATGTCTTAACATACAATATTTGTTTTTAAAAGTTTTATTTACACATTGTCTGAGTTACAGTCTCAGCATCTGCTAGCTGCCTACCAAAGTAACATCTAGAAACTGAAACTAAATTGTCTTTCTTGCTGGACAAAGCTCAGATACCTCATACTCATCCATTATCTCTGCTCCAAATTGCTCTTTATTCTGCTGCTAAGGTCTACTTTTGACCTTATATCTGACTTAATTTTGTTTAGGAAATGGATTATAATAGTGAGTGTATTGCATGCTAGTGTTTCAGTAACTGCAGCACAGAAGATAAAAGGAACCATATTGCTTCTCTCACAGAATCCATGCTGGCATTTCAGTTTTACATTTGTTTCTTAAATTGCAGTTCTGTATAAGGCAGTTTCTGAAGTGCTCCTTTGCTCTCTGCCTCCAAAGTAAAATGGCACTTCCATTGTGTGAATATTGATTTTTAAAAAGTATTCCAGTTTTTCATGTCATATACTCTGAAACTGTAAAACGCAACCATTTTTGCACAATTTTGCACTATTCTTTCTTCAGTTTTTGTGTGGCTAAAGTTGCCCCAAGGCATTACATCTTCATATATTTCATATACTTCCTTGTTTTCTTCCTCCAAATTTCACTTTCTTTTTTTCTAAATGTCACCAACTGTATGATAAGATCAACTATTAGACTGAAAAGGTCATTATTAACCAAATGCCATCCACCCATTATATCTGAAACACTGCTACCATTACCCATCCCTCTCCACTGCTGTCCCTATGTACTGTGCTGTAGGAGTTTGTACCATCTGAATGCACACTGCTGGGGGACTGCAGCCCCCGTGGCTGGATCCTGGCTGTAGCACGGCCACAGGTTTGGATCATCAGATCCAGCAACTACCCTGTATGCTCCAATTTCCCTCAGAAGAAAACATGGGCACAAGGACAGTAAGGGAGCTTCATGTGCACTGATAGCTCCCTTGGTTTGGACAATCAGGAGGTCCAGGCTGTGGTGAAGTGTACCTGCCTACTATGCAGGTTAATTAAATACTGGTTTTGTTTTTGTTTTATTTTTTATTTTTTAAATAGCAGCCATGGCAGTAGGAAAATTATCTCCTGACTTTCCCTGTGCTGGAATATATATGTCTTTTTTATTGGAATAAGGTTAAATTTTCATTTCCAACCCAATCAAGACTCATATAATATAGGCAGCATTCTGGACTTTTATGACCCATACAGCAGTAAGAGTATCCAGCCTCTTCAAACTGTTTCAACAATAGGAAGTCTGCTGCAAGCAGAGGAGTTGATTAAAAGTCGCTTTTGTATTTTTATTAGTAAGATGATTTTGTCCTATTTTGCTGTGTTGAAGAATGGGATAAATTTCATTATTACAGATTCTATCAAACAAGTTTTAAAGTTTCTAAAAGCCCTTTCCTCTGCATTAGTAAAATAATCAGCTGAAGACCCTAACAAAGTGACAGCTAGGTGTTTGTGCCAATACCTTGTAACTGCAATAGATTACTTTCCTGTAGTGACAAATTCAAGATTATTGAAGCTGAAAAACAAATACCTGCTCTGCTTCCTAATGCAACAACCTCTGCAAACGTTTTGACCTCTTTGTGAACTACCACTATATGACTGACAGGCCACATAGAGCTACAACTGCTCTGATACTTATTTCTTGAAATAAACTGTTTTGGAACTTCTAATTCAAAGGGAGTTTTAAAGTGTTTCATATTGCTTTAATCTATTGCTACCAGTCTTCCATCTTGGACTATACAGTCATGCAGTTGTCCAGGCAACTGAAATTGTCAGTGATTTCCAACCATCTTTCTATTTTATTATCTTTTTTTGTCTTTTTTATAGTTTACTCATCAGTTTTTATTTGTTAGCCTATACATAGGAACATGCAAATCTGGTCAATGTTTTTACTGATCAAAAGGTTGGGAAGATATTTCAGACAAT